CCGCGCGCCCCCTCCCCCTCTAGTCCGAAATGGACAAGGAGGGGGGTGGCGCCCCCCTTTCCTTCCTCCTCTCTCCTTCCCTTCCCCCTTCTCCTACTCAGGACTCCCCCCTTGGCGCGCCCTCCTCCTTGGCCGGCCGCCTACCCCCTAGCTCCTTTATATACGGGGGCAGGGGGCACCCCAAGACACAACAATTGATCATTGATCTCTTAGCCGTGTGCGGTGCCCCCTTCCACCATAATCCACCTCGGTCATATCGTAGCGGTGCTTAGGCGAAGCCCTGCGTCGGTAACTTCATCAACATCGTCACCACGCCGTCGTGCTGATGAAGCTCTTCCCGGAAGCTCTACTGGATCGTGAGTTCGCGGGACGTCACCGAGCTGAACGTGTGCTGAATGCGGAGGTGTCGTACGTTCGGTACTGAGGATCGGTCGATCGTGAAGACGTACGACTACATCAACCGCGTTGTCATAACGCTTCCTTTTACGGTCTACAAGGGTACGTAGAGGACACTCTTCCCTCTCGTTGCTATGCATCACCATGATCTTGCGTGTGCGTAGGAAATTTTTTGAAATTACTACGTTCCCCAATAGAAATTTATGTAAACTGATCGATATTCAACAAAGTTTGGATAGAAAATAGCACAAATTATCCATACATACCATGCAAATTAAGTCTAGTACAACAATGTCTCTAACTCGACTAGATCTCAGATGTCCAACAAGTTTTTCATGAACGGATCATGTTGTTTCACACATGCTCCCCTTCAGCTTCATCCAACAGTGTGTACACGTAAATGGTCATTCATTTGTCCTGTGGTACACCACGGCGGCGCGTGCGGGCTACATATAATGTGTAGCCCAACATTGAGTGAATGAATCAATCAAAAATTTAACTAGAGGAAGTAAAACTTACGATCTCGTCCTCTACCGCATGCAATGGACACCTTGCTTCGAGCTGACGAAGCACGTCACAAAACTTGGTGACATTGATCTGAATAGCGTTCCAGAGATACGACAACGAGCTCATGTTGCGTGGTTGAATAATGTACATGTTGTAGATCGCAATGTGCTTTCGCGTGTGAAACTTTTCATGCACTTGCTCCTAGAAGGGCTCCCCTCTGCTCCTGTCTACTAAATCGGTGGATACGGCCAACCACGCATCGCACAACAACTCATCCTCCATGGTCGAATAGCTCACCATCCTTCGTACTCTAAAAACGACATATCATTTGAAAATAAGCTCAATGGCATTTGAATGAACACCAACCGAGTATGGTGTCCGCCATGGAGCTCGTCGACAGGGGGCGGAGTGTACCTGGGTACAAACGTCTCCAGGGTGGACAGCTTCGTCAAAGCGGGTGCGTCGGTGCTGGTTGCGGACGTCCGACAATGCCTCTATGGCGGCCGGAGACGTATAGCGGCGGCGGCGGAGGTGGACGGTGCAGACGCAAAGTAAGATGGAGAGAAAAGGCGGAGTGGAAGAAAATAAGACCGAGAAAGAAGATTAGGTGGGCTGGGGATGTTGGAGTCCTACATTTCAAATGTCCGGACTCCTATAAATCTCCCTCACTTTATCTTAAATTGATGGGAGAAAGCGCATCCGGACGGTTACGGAACCGCGTTGGAGATGCCCTTAACGGAGGACGTGTGACCTCATCTGCCTCAAGTTGTGGCCTTCATACAGTAGATTGGTAAAAAAACACTGCATTGAGCATGTCACACACTAAGCACATGGTTGATGTATCCATCCCAGCACAAACTTGGCATTCCAGCATTTTTTGGAGTTTAGCCCCAGATACTCAGACCTCTTCGTCCACAACCAAATTTGAATCCATTTTGATAAAACAAAAAGAAGGATCACTGACGAAAAATCGAAAACCCTTTGCGCGGCAGGATCATTTACCATCTGAACTTCTCGCGTCGGCCAAATAATGCGGCGTGAGAGGTAAGAAATTGCTTTCCAGTTCCAATCATAAGCCTGCCGCGTGCGTGTGACTAATGCCGCTTGTGTGCTGTTTATTATTACTAGTAAAAGAGCTCGTGCGTTGCAACGGGAGAAAAAATACAACACACACTCTTAACCAAACAACCATCACTTAAGACCACAATAGGTCCATCTCCTTTATTTTAGCGACGCATCATATTTGTGTTGCCGCTTATCCTTCTTCTCACCCTCGCCGGCGATGGCCTTAGTGTTCACACAAAGCAAAACGTGTTTGAATGTGGTTAATCCTAAGACGTCTCTCTCTCCCTCTCTCCTCCCTCTCCCTCCTCTCTCTCTCTCTCTCTCTCTCTCTCTCTCGCTTGCTCGCTTTCTCTCACACTCGCGATGAGAAATCTATTGTTTTCCCCTGCGATGTATTCAGAGGTATGCATGTGTAGTTCTCGATGTTTTATTTTTCCTATATGACTATAGTGGGTGTTTATTTGCAACCCGGATCGCCGCCTGTACGAAAGAAAAATGGATCGTGCGCTATAGTTATAAGTTTGCTTTCAAAACAATATCTAAAAATATTTAACAGGTAAAATTTGCATCATATTCAGATTTCACACATTTTTCTAATCAAATTTCATATGTAACATGTTAAAATCGGAGTTACGGTTTAAAAGATACGTATAATTTAGAAAACCATTTGTTTGACTTAAATATCTTCCAAAATAATATTTATAAATACTTAACAGGTTAAAATAATGTTATATTCATATTCTACATATTTTTCTAATCAAATTTCATATATAACATGTTTAAATCGGAGTTACGGTTTAAAAGATATGGATGGTTTAGAAAAGTATTTGTTTGACTTAAATATGATCCGCGGATGGAATACCTAAAAAGTTAGGGGGGGTTTAAAAAACTGTAAAATAACCGTTCGGTGTGACTTAAGTCCGGACTGCAGGTTGATTTCATGGAAATGCAGGGGCTTTTTTGCAAAATGGTGCAACGGACGGGTAGAAACCCTGTGTGCTTTATTATTAGGTAGAGATGTCCACTCGATTTGGAGCCTCTTGTCACGTACTACCAACTTGGACCATTATATTTTATCAAAAAAAACTTGGACCATTATATTTTATCAAAAAAAACTTGGACCATTATATTTTTGGCCCTATGCAACTTATTTGCTCCAAAGACCAACATATGAAGGGCCCATTTGGTTCAAACGAATTCAACCGGAGTTTTGGAGGATTTAGATCCTTAGGAATTTTTTCCTTGCTTTGCCCACTATTTCAGAGGAAAAAAAAACAGTTCAATCAAACATCTTTGCTGCGACATCAAACACTCTTTGATTCAATTCAAATTCCCGTGGTTTCCTAATCCTACAAGTTTCCAGAGAACATCCATCGCAATTTTTCCTATTCCTGTCTTTTGAGAATCTTGCAAATCAAAGAGGTCCGGAACCTCTATGATCTTGCACTATTATTAAGTTCTCAATTTCATACCCACTGATTCTGAACTTTGAATAGTGGAGTAGTTTTTAGGCTCAGTTTATGGTCATTGGACTAAGTTGTGCCGGACTTACTTTGTAACTGGTATGAAAAATAGGCATAGCTAAGTTTAGTTAACCAAATGGTGAGTTAAAATACAAAAACTGGTTAGGCAAACAGGATTATCATAATCTCACACACATGTAAACGCATCAAGCGTTAAACCAGTATGACATACTGTTGCAAAAATACACCGGTTATTCCACAAAAAGAAAAATCCCAACGGTTACAAGTTACAACAGAATTAACCATGCCATTTACTGATTGAAAGCAATGTTTTTCTATTCAAGGATGGATGCTGAAATGCTTGAAATACAGATAATTCTTCCCTTTGCATTTTTTTTTCTCCTTTCCATCCCGACCTTAGCTGTCGCGGTCAGAAAAGTTTCCAGTTAGAGATTCTATGGTTCAGCGTATTCTAAAAACATGGACATGGGGAAAAAAGTTTCCAGAAAATAATGTGTATGTGCAATGTTGCTTCTATTCAGTATGTAGACAGCTTTGAAATAAGCAAACTGGATGTAACATAGAAACTCAAATTTTTATAGCAGAATGAATGCACGTTTCAAGTTTGTATAGGAAGAAAAATAGCAAAATGGTCAGCATGACATCCACAGTAAAGGAGCAAAGCAATGATCAACAGAACAGCATGATCATGCACATCATAAACAGGCCACAGTATGACGTGTATAAGTTTGACATATGTGGCATAACATACACAGCTCTCATCCAGAGTAGCATAAGATGACCATAAAAGAGTAGGAGCATATGAGTAACATGATCACCAGATACAGTACAGTGAAGTCAATTTGTTGGTACATGCATGCTACAGGAAGATTGATTATACAACCATAGTGACAACATTCAAACGATGATTGTTCAGACCAATGCAATGGATGTTTCATAGAAACCTTCCCTTAAACTAGTAATAACATGTACAGAACAATTGCGACGTAAAAATAATAACTTCCAAAGTTCCAATCCAGACAAAACATGGCATGACCCAGGGAATAGAATGCTGTGACTGCATCTTCAGATAGTTGTTGGCTCTTCTGCAGTTGCATAACTTCCCTACAGCAAAGCTCAGCCACTTATATCCTCTGCAGCGCCCCATTCCTCAGCTAGCATAGCTCATCCACCTGCCAAAACAAAACATTTAATGACCTGCCATCAGCCACTTTTCCAAACGTATCAAAAATCACCACTCTTAAGTGTTTGACATATGAAAAATTACAACGAAACCCATGCATGTAGTTGTTGGGTAGGAATTCACAAGGACAACTTTCCACCCACCATCTACTTGTGTGGGGTTTTCTTTTCTCATAATTTTTCACAGCTTACAAAAACAACTTTCTCCAAGTTTTCAAAATTGGGTTCACATGTACCCAGGTTCCAAAAATGCGCTCTCATGACGGTGCCATTGTAACATAACACATTTCAGTCTCAGTTGTATGGAAGTGTGGCATGCCATTGGGTCTAGGAAAAATGAACAGCAAAAGGATCAAATAAATACCTTCAAACAGCTGAAACAGGAGTCTGAGTTTTCATGGAGCTTGAGATCGGTAGAGCATTGTGCCCAGCCAAGGTATGTTTTTTGTTTTTGCGCTTCAACTGGGGCCTATATTAACCAGTTACAACAGGGCCCAAGTTAGATGTGAATAATCTCTAACAGGACATATACTAGTAAGTGGGAACCAAGAGAAACTCATGATTATACTTTGGTTACATTGCTAGACAGACTTGTCAAATAACGGTAGCACCGTGCAACAATAAAAAATTGGGGATCTAAACTTTAGTGAATTGATAGTTCTTAAACAACAAGTATACTATCTTCATAAAGGGAAAAAAAACTTCTAAATAAATGGCAAACTCCTTACCTTGGGGCTACATGACCTTTGATTACTTTTTCTTCTTCCTCGGTGAACATAAACCACTTGTCAGTGTTCTCTGTTGCGTCAAACTCTGATACAAATATGATATTAGTAGTCACTAACTACAACAATATAAATGAGTAACATGAAGGGTATTGCATAATAACTTCAGACAAACCTTGGCGCATTATTGCTGTCTTATCACAATAACCATCCAGCTTCCAGTACGCAACCCCTTCGTCTATCCTGACAGGCTTTTTCCTAACTAGACCTCCCAGCTTCTCCTCTGATGTTGCCATAATTGAGAGGTAACAGAAGATAATTAGTTCACACAGCTCAGTGCCTTGCACATTACAGAATAAGATATATATTTTTTAAACAGTGTTCTGTTTGGAATGAAACTGAAGGCTGAGCATGTTCTTTAGTTACTTCACATCCAGAAAAAGGCACATGGCTACATGTAACTAAGAAACTTAGTAAGTGCATACATGTTTAATGTTCTGTTGAGCTGCAGAAAAATATTAGTACCACAATGAAAATATACACAGGCTTAACACTCAATTAACAAAACTGAAGTGAATTCACATATACAGGGGTATAAATGAACTGGTGACATTTCTTGAACACAAACTCAAGCTAAATCTTGAAGAAAGTGCAGAAAGCTAAACCAAGCACAATACAAAAAGATATATTAAAGAAACTGCAAAACATCAACATACAGAGAACTAATGAGATGCAGAAAGATAAAAAAATGTAGATATATAAATTCATAATGTTCAGACCATCTATTACTGCCTTCTTGTCTGCATATGCCTCCTTAATTTGAGAAACAAGACTATTAATTTCTGCTCCATTTCTCAAAAACCTTGGTTTAGCCATCTTAATTGTTAGTTTTTCTTTAAGCTCCTTTTCCTATAAAACCAGAGGAAAGTGGTTGTTTATTAGTGTAAAAAAAAAGCAAGTGACTAGACACACATAAAAAAGGTTGCCCAAGCTCTCTTACCTTTTCTTTGACAGCACGGAATTTTTCCCTTGCAGCAACCTTTCTCTCAGTTGCACTTTCATGCTGTTTGAGAACCCAGTTCTTTAATGTTCTGAACAAAAACAAAATATTATTGATATGAAAGTAAAATAGCGAAGTGAACTACTACAGCAAATACAGTAGGCAGTACTTACGTAGTAGAAAGGGCCTCATCACACAGAAAATTCAGCACATGCAGCTTTAAAGAAGGGCTCAATTTTTTATATCCTAATACCCCTTGACTTAAACAATCAAGAGGCAGTTCCTTCGAGATAACTGTGGATTCACTAATATATTTCCCAGTATCAATTATCCAAGCATCACCATTCCTTGAATAGTCCGAAGGGCTATGAACAAAATAACCTCATTTAGTCATTTAACAATCAGTTTAAACACAACAACAAAGAAATATCAATTCAGAATGTAAGTACTTCTCTTCTCTGTCTTCTTGGATGACAGATAACAAACTAATGTGAAGGTCAGCAACAACTGAAGGCACCTCTCGCCCGATACGGCCTCCTCCAGTGATGACTTGAAGAATTTTTTCTGGCTGTCCCTTTCTTATTTTAAGCACCTGCGCAAAAAAATCATTTGCAACATTATTCCATTTACAAAACAAATTATATTCCAACAGCCACAAGGTGCCATATTAACATGTTAAACCATGGAAACAAGACCTGTTTTTAAGACTAGCTTATGAAGACAAAAGGCTGCTCTAAGAAAAATAAGCAATTCAATATAATATACTATCACTGTGCCTTCTAAAATCTTACAATTTAACCAAATATTCACGCTCCACACAAACAAGTATTAGAATATATTGCAACCAACTCCCACAACAGCATGCAGGGTATCATCTGGTGTATAAAATTATCCATGACAATATAGGATGAATCTAAGATGTAAGACAAATATTACACTTTCTGGTGGTTGGTCAAATCACGCATGCAGATCATCAGAGATAGATGCACTAGCATACACACACGTCCTGATCACCAATATAGTCTTAAAATGCAATTGTCTGCATGAGCAAATAAATATCTTTGAAATTTAGACAACTTATTTGGATCGTCTCAAAACAGTGTTACCATTATCACGTGTCAGTATTTCACCATGGCTGCCACTCTCATTCTGGACAACTATGAATTTTATATAACTTTAAAATACTATTTGCATTTGATTAAATATGTGCACCAAAGCCTAATGGCATGGCTGACTGCTCTACAACAGAACAAACATAGGATAATGTAAAAAAAAAGGAGAAGCTGCTAACATCACTTTGCTTTAGTTCTAACATTGGCCTGAAAGGCTGAAACAACAATTACATAATGCAACAACACCTTTTTCTGTTCTGCAGACATAAACTTTTTTTAAACAGAACCAGTTATACATAACCAATGACAAACCTTGCATCAACATACAAACAAATGCAGCACAAGAATATTTTCTTTAGTCCATAAGAGAGCTCATGGCGCTTGTATTGCACAACAGAACAAGAAAGTAAAAGCTGAAAGATTGTCTTGACATAAGTACCTCTGCAAATGTGCGGCAGAATTCATGAAACTGAAGTGCAGACCCAACATCATCAACCTCCAGCTCAGCCCCTGCAATGTCAGTGACTGGAGTACCTATGGGTAGCTCAATTTTGGTCTCTGGGACATCAGTGCTCTCATTCCTAATGTGAAGTTCGCCCTTAATTTCAACAGGGCACTTTTCATCAGCAGTCATGTCATTTACCATGCGGTTGCCCTTTTTCAGCTTCTTGCTGATGGGAACTGGAGGAAGTGCATTGAGATCAGTCCCTGTATTGTCATCCCCTTGAGCCAACAATCCATCAGTACCATCATCTGTCCCTAGGGCCCTCTTTATGTTGCCCTTCTTGCGTTCCTAACAAAGGGGCCAGCAAAACAGATCAGTAATAATGAACAATTACATTATAAAACAGAGAGTTACCAAGCAAAAAATGCACCACCTTCTTGATCTTCTTCAGCTCCTTGTCAGTATGAACTGAAGGAACTGCATTGAGATCAGTCCTTGCATTCTCACCCCCTTCAGCCAACAATCCATCAGTACCATCATCTGTCCCTAGGGCCTTCTTTATGTTGCCCTTCTTGCGTTCCTAACAAAGGGGCCAGCAAAACGGATCAGTAATAATGAAACAATTACATTATAAAATAGAGAATTACCGAGCAAAAAATGTACCACCTTCTTGATCTTCTTCAGCTCCTTGTTGGTAGGAACTGAAGGAAATGCATTGAGATCAGTGTTTGTATTCTCATCCCCTTCAGTCAACAGTCCATCAGTAGCATCGCCTGTCCCTGGCACCTTCTTTATGTTGCCCTCCTTGTGTTCCTAACAAAGGGGCCAGCAAAACAGATCAACAATAACGAACAACTACATTACACAACAGAGAATTGCCAGGCAAAAATGTACCTTCTTGATCTTCTTCAGCTTCTTTTTGATAGGAACTGAAGGAAGTGCATTGAGATCAGTCTTAATATTCTCATCCCCTTCAGCGAACAATCCACCGTTAGCATCATCTGTCCCTAGCGCCCTCTTTAAGCTGCCCTCCTTGCGTTCCTAACAAAGGGACCAACAAAGCAGATGAACAATGATGAGCAATTACATTATACAGCAGAGTTACCAAGCGAGAAATTGTACCTTCTTGATCTTCTTAGGGAGCGAGGACAGCGTCTGTGCAGCAACCACCATGTCGGAGCCCTTTATCAGCAAATCATGGACGGACGAGTGCCCTGACGCCTTGGCAGCATGGGCCAGTATTCCTGTAGGCGTCTCCCCTTTCTTCTTTCTGTCAAACAAAACCAAGCTAAGCAAGAAATACACAAGAAGTCCCAGTATAACCGTGCATCAGCTTCGTTGGCTGACCTGCAGAAGCTGCAGTTGCAGATGCCCCTGCATTTGGGGCAGGTCCAGCCCGCCTCCTTGGTCATATCCTCGGCGTTCTCACCATACCTAAACAAGCCATGAAGAACCAAACCAGATCACACCAAGAGGCTCTACGATGGCCAGCTTGCTCGACCACGGAGATGATGGTGGCTTGAAACTGTGTGAAGAAATTCTTTTACCTGTTGAGGAGGCACTTGTGGCAGAAGTGGATTGGACAAAGCCCCTTCTTCCGGGGCTGCGTGCAAGCCACCGAGAAGTCCATCGTCTTCTGGCGACACTGCGAGCGCGTGACGAAAACAACAACAACGAAGGGTCAGCCAAATCCGCCCCCGACAGATCGAGAAGGATGGGGGAGATGCGCCACGGCAGGCGCTCACCTGGTGGCAGGTCTTCCCGTTCTCCGGGTCATAGATCCGGCCGCCGACGCAGCGGATTCCGGGGCACGGGTTGCGCTTCCGGGGAGGGCCTTGCTTGGCCTCCTCCGTCTGCCCCGGCACGACCACGCTCTCCTCACCGCCGGCGCCTTTCTTGGCCATGGAGACGCGCTCGAGGAAGGGCGGGAGAAGTGGGGTGTGAAATGAGGAGGAAGCTCGGGAGGTGGGTGCCCCGGGAGACACGGGAGGTGTTTGATGTGATGAATTTTGGGGGCGGAAGGGGGGTCAGATCTCGGATTATGGCGCCGCGACGCGGAAGAAGGGCGGGAGTAGCTGGTGTCGGATGGCGCCAGTGAATTGCCCCGGAAATTTTGAAATTTTCCCTTCTCGGCGCTGTCCCGTCTCCTCCCCCGCCTTTGCTCGATGTTTTCCCTCCCACAGCTCGTCCTCGCTTTTCGGGTTGGTGGGCAACTTTTTTTTGTGTGTGTTGGTGAGCACCGTGCGTCCTCGGTTTAGGTGCATAGGGCTTTTAATGAGGAACGGCGTAACCTAGACGCATAATACTTGGGTGAAAAAAAAATATCATGAAAATAGAATAGAACCAGTCAACCAACATGTTTTGTTTTGGCCGCAATAATTGCATATGATTAACGCTGGAAATCCTCACCAGCTGACCGATTAATGAGGCGGTCATTCAAGGGCCGCTGGCGTACTCCCTCCGTTCCTAAATACTTGTCTTTCTAGAGATTTCAACAAGGAACTACATACGGCGCAAAATGAGTGAATCTAAACTTTAAAATATGTCTACATACGTCCGTATGTTGAGTCCATTTGAAATGCCTAGAAAGACGAGTATTTTGGAACGGAGGGAGTAGGTAGGAGGTGGATTCCAGAGTGGATCGGGTGCAGGTGGATCGCAGAAAGGGCATCCGGTGTGGCCGGTGCGCGTGTGACCGCGGGCGTGGGTGGGGTATACGGGAGTATTGTTATAACATTGCAAGAAATGATGACACGGCGGGATTGGAGCTAATTTATGGACCGAGGAGCTAATTTGTGGGGGCTAGTGGCGTAGAGATTTGAAAAGCATAAGCAGCCGAAAACTCGTAGGTGGTCATAGCGAGGATGTGTGCTGGTGAGAAGGAAATAGGGGGTATTTGGTGTGGTTTTAGTGGATGGGCGTCGGGTGAGGTGTGTGGCGGTGTGCAACGCCTTCGCCCAAAAGATTGGCGTGTAGGAGAAGAGTGTGAACGCCATCGTTGGTAGTGCGAATCATGGGCTCGCCCTTGCCGTTTCGGGGAGAACATTGAGGGCAAGAGAGACAGTAAATAATGGTGTCGTTCGAGAAAAAGATGTGCAATGAGGTGTTGATAAATTCACCGTCGTTGTCACACTGCATACATTTGATGAGTGCGGAAATGGGTAAGAATGTAGGTGAATAATGATGGATAACGTTGCATGGAAAAACAAAAAAATCCTACGAAACACCCAAAGATCTATCTATGAAGGTGCTAGCAACGGATGGGAGTGTGTGTCAACATACCCTTCTAGACCGAAAGTGTCAACGATCTAAAGATCGTGGTTGACGTAGTCGTACTTGTGTCACGATCCATCCACAAGCACAGCACGTGCGGCACCTCCGAGATTAGCACACGTTTGGCTCGGTGGCGTCATCTACTTCTTGATCCAACAAGCGAGGGGGAGGAGGTAGATGAGATCTAAACCAACACGACGACGTGGTGGTGGCGGCAGTGGAACTACAGCAGGGCTTCGTCAAGCATCCGCGCGAGGTAGAGTAGTTGTAACGGGAGGAAGACGGACAAGTGTGGAAGGGTGGCTGCCCCCAACACCTCTCCACCTTTATATACGCGTTGAGGGGGCTGGTGGCTTGCCCTCCAAGCCCCTAGGGTCGTTGACCAAGAGGGAGAAGGAAAATTCTCATTTCCTTTCCCATCGATCGCTATCCCCTTTTTTAGGGATCTCGATCTTATCCCTTCGGGATATGATCCTATTCCTTTTAGGGGAGGATCTTGGTGAGCCTAGACCAGGGGTGTGGGACCTTGCCCCGCTACTCACGTCCATGTGGGCTCCATGCAGGTGGGCCCCACTCCGGAACCTTCTTGGTACAATATCGAAAAAAACCAAACATTTTCTGGAACCCTGAATATGACTTTCATACATAAATCTTTACCTCCGGATCATTCCGGAGCTCCTCGTGATGTCCCGGATCCCATCCGGGACTCCTACTTTCGAACTTCACCATATGAATATCTCAATACTACCCTGCGCTATCGAACGTTAAGTGTGCCGATATGACCTAGACTCCTCTTCGATCAATAATCTATAACGGGACCTGGATGCCCATATTGACTCCCACATATTCAACGAAGATATTTATAGGTTGAACCACATTGTCAAGGATTTGGTTAATCCTGTATGCAATTCCTTTGTCCAGCGATATGTTACTTGCCCGAGATTCGATCGTCGGTATCTCCATACCTAGTTCAATCTCGTTACCGGGAAGTCTCGTCACTCGTTCCGTAATACAAGGCCCATGACTAAACTCATTAATCACATGCTTGCAAGCTTCTTCTAATGTTGTATTACTGAGAGGGCCTAGAGATATCTCTCTGCCACACGGAGTGACAAATCCCAATCTCGATCCATGCAACCCAACAAACACCTTTGGATCGCTGGACCAGTCCATAGATGGATCGCTGGAGCTTGCATACCTTATTAGCATCCTTAGGATCGACAAAACCTTTTGGTTGCATCATATACAACTCTTCCTATCAGGAAACCATTAAGGAATGTTGTTTTGACGTCCATCTGCCAGATTTCGTAATCGAAAATGCAGAAGTTGCTAACATAATCTTAACAGATTTCAACATCGCTACGGGTGAGAAAGTCTCATCGTAGTCAACTCCGTGAACTTGTGGAAAACCCTTTGCAGCAAGTCAAGCTTTATAGATGGTGACATTACCATCAACATTTGTCTTCTTCTTAAAGATTCATTTGTTCTTAATGGCCTGCTGGTTATCAGGCAGGTCCACCAAAGTCCATACTCGGTTTTTCATAGATGGATCCTATCTGGGATTTCATGTCCTCAAGCCATTTGTCAGAATATGAGCTCATCATTGCTTCTTCATAGTTTGTAGGTTCATCGTTGTCCAATAACATGACTTTTGGGACAAGAATACCGTACCACTCTTGTGCGGAACGTGTCCTGGTCGACCTAGGAAGTTCAGGAATAGCTTGATTCGAAGTATTATGATCATCATCATTAGCTTCCTATCCAGCTAGTGTAGGCATCACAGGAACTTCTTTCTGCGATGCACTACTCTCCAATTTGAGAGAAGGCACGGTTACCTCATCAAGCTCTACCTTCCTCTCACTCACTTCTTTCGAGAGAAACTCCTTCTCTAGAAAGGATCCATTCTTGGCAAGAAAGATCTTGCCCTCGGATCTGTGATAGAAGATATATCTAATGGTCTCTTTAGGGTATCATATGAAGACGCACTTCTCTGCTATGGGTTCAGCTTATCAGGCTGAAACCTCTTGACATAAGGGTCGCATCCCCAAACTTGAAAAAAAATGACAATTTAGGTTTCTTGCCAAACCATAATTTATATTGCGTCATCTCAGCGGATTTAGATGGTGCCCTGTTTAAAGTGAATGCGGCCATCTCTAATGCATAGCCCTAAAAGATAGTTACAAATCGGTAAGAGATATCATAGGATGCACCATATCCAATAGAGTAGGATTACGACGTTCAGACACACCATTACGCTGTGGTGTTTCAGGTGGCGTGAGTTGTGAAACAATTCCACATTGTCTTAAATGTGTGCCAAACTCGTAACTCAGATATTCACCTCCACTATCAGATCGTAGTAATTTTATTTTCTTGTTACAATGATTCTCTACTTCACTCCGAAACTCCTTGAACTTTTCAGATTTGTGTTTCATTAAGTAAATATACCCATATATACTCAAATCATCCGTGAAGATAAGAAAATAACGATATCCAGCACGTGCTTCAACACTCATTGGACCGCATACATTAGTATGTATTATTTTCAACAAGTCACTTGCCCGCTTCATTGTACCGGAAAACAAGGTTTTCGTCATCTTGCCCATGAGGCATGGTTCACATGTTTCAAATGATTCATACTCAAGTGATTCCAAAAGTCCATCAGCATGTAGTTTCTTCATGCGCTTTACACCAATATAACCCAAGCGATAGTTTCACGAGAATAAACCATTAACTTTGCATCTTTTGGCATTAATATTATGAACATGTGTATCACTACGGTCGAGATTCAACAAGAATAAACCATTCACATTAGGTGCATGACCATAAAAGATATTATTCATATAAATAGAACAACCATTATTCTTTGACTTAAATGAATATCCATCTCACAATAAACAAGAGCCATATATAATGTTCATGCTCAAAACAGACACCAAATAACAATTATTTAGGTTTAAAACTAATCCCGAATTTAGACATAGAGGGGGCATGTCGACGGTGATCACATCAACCTTGGAGCCATTCCTAACGCGCATCGTCACACAAAAAATTATACCTTCTTGATCTTCTTAGGGAATGAGGACAATGTCTGTGCAGCAGCCACCATCTCGGAGCGCTTTATCAGCAGATCATGGACGGATGAGTGCCCTAACGCCTTGGCGGCATGAGCCAGTATTCCTGTAGGTGTCTCCCCTTTCTTCTTTCTGCCAAACAAAACCATGCTGAGAAAGAAATACACAAGAAATCCCATTATGACCATGCATCAGCTTTGTTGGCTCACCTGCACAAGCTGCAGTTGCAGATGCCCCTGCATTTCGGGCAGGTCCAGCCCGCCTCCTTGGCCTTGTCCTTGGCATCCTCACCATACCTAAACAAGCCAGGGGGAAGCAAACCAAATCAGAATAAGCGGCCCTACGATGGTTAGTTTGTTGGACCACAGAGATGATGAACTGTATGAAAAAAATATTTTACCTGTTGGACAAGCACTTGTGGCAGAAGTGGATTGGACAAAGCCCCTTCTTTCGAGGCTGCCTGCAAGCCACCATGAAGTCTGTTGTCTTCTGACGACACTGCAAGAACAACAACAAAGGGTCAACCAAATCCACCCCCCCGACAGATCCAGAAGGATGGA